TACTCAAATGAGATAACTTTAGGAATAATCAAAACGATCGAAAATATCTACTAAAACAACAAAATAAAAGTAAAAGTAGAAGAACTAACTGACCCTCTTGAAGCTGGCAATGGAATAAGTCAGGGAAATTTCTTGAGTCCTCTATTATTTAACCTGATTATGGTTAAAATAATAAAAAAAAAGTAAGAACTAAAACAGGATACAAAATGGGAGAAAAGCAACTTATAATAATCTACTATGCAGACAACGCAATACTACTCTCTCAAATTGAAGATGATTTACAACCTATGCTGCAGCAATTTAATATAACCGCCAGAAAATTTAACATTTTAATTTCTCCAAAAAAGACAAAATGCATGGTTATAACAGCAAATTTAATAAGATGTAAATTTGAGCTGAAAGGTAAGATAATAGAACAAGTGATGAAGTTTCTAGGTATCACATTATCTAGCTACGGAAAGCCCGAAAAGAAGTAGATCAACTGAATAGAGCAAACGGAACTGCAAGTTGCCTGAGTGACACAATATGGAGAAATAAAAATATCGGAAAATAAATGAAAGGCAGAATTTACAAAACAGTCATCAGACCAATAATGACTTACGCGGCAGAAACACGACCTGGCACAGAGAGGACAAAAATAATGTCAGAAACAGCAGAGATGAAAACACTTTTGAAAACAAAAATTTATGGTAAAATACTATGGGACAGAGTTAGATAGAGAGTACAGATAGACGACGCAAGGTGGAGAACATCAAGGACTGGGTACGAAATAGAAGAATAGAATACAATAATCATAAGCTAAATGATACCAGACTATTAAAGAAGGCAAGAGACGGTTCCGCAAATAGGAAGACGATCAGTAGGAAGACCACGAAAACGATGAAACGACAACTTACTGCAGACGAATTGAAAACAGACAGAATCATTCTACATAAAAAGAAGAAGAAGAAGAAAAAGAAGGATCTACAGATGGTGTTTGTTTGTCTACACTTAATATCAATTTGACTGTACATCTAACCGTTTCTTTTTTATTTATCAAAAATTCTTAATTATTTTGAGTCACTGTCAAATTTGGCGTAATATTATCCAAATATATGTTCCTACGATAATGCATTATTTGTAAAATTCTGTATACAATTCAAATCGCCAAGTAAAAGAGATTAAGGCGCCAAGATAAGATTTTTAAATAATCATTTAATAGACAATAAATATTTGCTCAACAATTGATATTTGTGGAAGTTAATATTGACAAACTCTTCATTATAATGATTGCACTTTTTGTAACCTACTGGACCAGATTTCTTTTAACATCTAAACATGGAATTTTTTGTCGAACAAATACAAAACGTAGAAGCCTGTGTTTTTAAGAATTGTGAATCATATTTTACAGAAAGTATAAATTGTAGAACATTTTTCTTTAATGAATTGGTTTACAAAAGATATTACCAAATTCGTCATTTTTACAAAATTGATTTTATCTATATGCCACTGTGTAGCTGCATTGTGAAGAGTTAGTTATTTCTGAGATTTTGTTTTATTTCCACCGGCTTCTCTGTTAAAATTCTTTTTATCACGTTCGAGTCTGGGGTTTTCCACCAAACTTATGCTTGTAGATTTTCTGTAGTTCACAGTTTTGTTCAAACTATGTCTTCATATTCTGTTTTCACATACCGCTCAGACTATTTTGCGTGAAAGCTTTCTTTCAAAAATCGATAGAGATAGGTTGCAAGAATCGATATACTATGTTGTTAGTAGGTTCCCCCTCCAGCAACTCTCGAAAGTGTCATACCTATCGTAGCAGGATATCCTCATTGGTGGTAAGTAAGTTGTTTATTCTGACATTCCATTCTTATACATATGTTGGTTCTCGGTTTGAATTCTTTTCTAATAATGTTTATTTGGTAATAGAACTTTCATGTTTCTCCGTGGCTCATAAGACTATCGTGCCGATATGTCGTTTTCTGATACTCATTTCATTTACGGTGATTGCGTTTGTTTTCTTTCCTTAAATTTTTGAATCTATCTATTGTTGTATAATATAGATCTTGTTCTTGCATGGTCCTAAATGGCTCGTTTTTCTCATATGTTTTTTCGGCTGCTACTTTCAACGTCTCCTTGCAGTTTTTGTACATTTCCGTGCTTTACTGGTCGACTGTCTAGGTCTGTTCTAGTGTTTCTTTGGGTCCCCCTCATAGGGACGAAAAACATCAATTTACCAAGAATCTTTACGCGCTAGAAAAAAATGTTTCAAACAAGAAACGTACTTGAGATCATTTTGAACAAAAATGTTATACACTTTTTGTGTGAAATGAACGACCGGCGATTTCAAATGTCAATTACATGGTCAGAGTGTCCTATCAACAAAAGTTAAAATGAGTTTTTAAGGTGAAGAGTACAGCCTTTGTTCGCAATTTTTGCATTTTGCGGCAAATGTAGTCGGTTTCTATAAAGCTGTTAAATAAACGTTGCGTAATTTTTGCCATTTTTTATGATTTTCATGAGATCAATAAAATTTATCTCTTCCATTGACCGGCCCCTGTAGAGTTTCCATTGTTAGAGCCTGATCTTAAAAACAGGGTTGGGCTGTTTTAAAACAAGCTTTTTAAAACAACGTTTTAAAACATGTTTAAAAACACTGAAAAAAAAACAGTTGCATTTTAAAACACCGTTTTAAAACATTGTTTTAAAACATTTTTTTTTTTCGTTATTGTTTATTATTATTTTGTTTATTAACATTTGTTATAAGATATTTGTGTTTGCTAATTTGCAAAATTGCAAACATAGATTATAGAGTAAGTAGGTGCAATAACAATATTAATGCTAAGTAAAAAGTAAAACTCAAAAAAAGTAACTGACTAAACTTTATTTATGTTCAGGTAGCAAGCATACTAGTACTGTTACGACAGTGCTGTAGTAACATTAACTAAACCAATACTCCTAATAAAGTTAAAAGAAAAAGAAAATTAAGAAATTAAGTAAATAATTATTGAATTACAACAGCATCTATTACACAGTCCTACATCCTGCAACTGATATGTGATACAAGAAATAAAAATAACAATGAATGTTCCTTAAAAAAATAAAAACTATAAATATAGAGCTTTTACGGTTAATAATGTAACCTTAAACATTTTTATTTAAATGTTGAAATATTGTTACTAGCTTAGCAGCTTTGTCACTTCCTAACCTATTTCTCAATTTCGAGTGAACTAGACCATATGAAGAAAATAGCCTCTCCACTCCAGCACTGGATGCAACTGCTGAAAATAATTGAGTTGTCAGCTGCAACAACTCCGATGAAATAAACTGTTTTTGAGATAGCCACCATGTTAAAGAACTTTAATTGTCTACTGTATTTTTTGCAAACAAATATTGTTTATTAAATGGCGGTGCTAAGGCACGAAATGACAGTATTTCGGGCATTACATTTGGGTGAAAATCCGAAATAAATAACAATGCTCTATCAACTTCCACCTCAGAGAGTTTCTGACCTAAGTACTAAGGGGCTAATAAATAAGCTAAATAATGCGCATCTGATATAGCCAGTTGAAAACGTGCTTCTGCTTTATGAAGTTCCAACACGTTGCTACAACCGTTAGATTGAGCTTCACTTTCACTTTGGAAATAACCCAGTAAGTCCTTCCAAATGTCTGTTGCATCTGCTATGGTGCATGTATTTCTCTGGCATTTATCCAAAGCCCATATGTGTGCCAGTTGAGGTTTATGGGAATCCCTATAGAAATCTAGTGAAGTACGTAATTATTTTAAAACGTTTTTTTTTTGTTTTAAAACAGTGTTTTTTTGTTTTAAAACAGTGTTTTTTTAGATGAAAAAAAAAACTGTTTTAAAACAAAAAACATTGTTTTTAAATAAAAAAAACATGTTTTTTGTTGTTTTTAAAAAAAAACATTTTTTGTCCAACCCTGCTTAAAAACCTATAACATCAAATCTCGATGTTGAGTTTTGGTAATAAATATGCCTTTGGCATTTGAAATATGCCTAAAAACGCTGAATTTAAACTTTTAGTTTACAAACGTTTTATTTATTCAACACTTTTATAGAAACTCACTTCATTTTCGACAAAGGGCAATACGAAATTGCATACGTAAGGTGCACTCTTCACATCTTCACCAAATTGAGTGTTGGTTCTGAGAGAACGCTTTATTCTACAGAAAAAGTGCCAATAAACTTTTTTTGTTTAAAATTATCTCAGCTACATTGCGTGTTTGAAAGATTTTTCTACGGCATACAGATTCTTGGTAAATCGATGTTTACCGCCCCTCCTCTAAGGGCGTTTTAGGGGGAAGACCGGGGTAGAAGTGGAAGACTTTTTGCGCCTTTTTTGGGATCCCAAAATTTTAAAAGGTTCAGTCAGTTCCCCTGAATTCGTACTCTACACTGAATTTTTTGAAAAGTTAGTTTTGTTAAATTTACCAACTGATTTTGTACAGAGCAATTCTTTCATTGCTCTGAATATTTTTCTCCTATTTACAGAGGCATAGGTTGCATTTTTCTATAGGCTTCATTTTTTCTTTTATGCATTTTTGCATGTATTGTCAAACTAATGATTTTTACGAGCACAAGTTTCTGTTCCTATTTTATCTTTTGCTGCTTTAATATCTTCCTTTATTCTGGGCGGGTAACAAACATGGTAACCTATAAAATCAATACGAAAAGCTGCAAACGCAATCCCATGCTTATTTCTTAATAAAATAAAATAAAATGAACCAAAATAAAATAATACGTTTCAAATAGAATCGAATTGTGAATTGAATTAATTTTTTTTGCAACTTAGCTGCGAAACAATAGCTCACGCAATTTTGCTTTAAACGTCAAATTTTAACAATTTTTTATCTTAAAACTTTTTAGTGGCTTTTAACTTTTTGTTGTTTGTTTTAGTTTCCTTTTAAAAAAACTAATTTACGTAAATAATTTAGCTTAATAATTCTCTGTCAGAACTATTTTTATGAATATTTAAACATTCTTCCTACGTATTACAGAATCGGCGCAGAATCCCTGACAGTCGCTCAAAATAATTACGCCGTGCTATGGTTCAAAGGAAAAGAACTCAATATGGTTTTCGGACTTCAACTCAGTTTTGCTAGGGTTGGCAGTACAGTGAACTTCTTAGTGATGGAAAGCTTGTACTCTGCTGTTTCCAAAATAACTTCAGACGGGCACTACATTTTAGGAATTGTGCTTTATATCGGTAAGTGATATTTGAATGAGAAAGTTTTTAAGTCTAGAAACAGATTACATATTTGCATCATAATCATTCGGTTGTCATCATACAGACAAGTTCGTAGATCTTTACCAGTAGGTCATCTTGTATGTTTAACTGCTCCTACCGACTAGAATATTGCATGCGAAGTATTAGGCAGATCCATTCTTAAAGTTAAACGTGTAAAAATACTTTTATAATAAAAATGACTGTAGATGTCAAAATGATACAATAATATAACAAATAATAATACTATATTTTGATCTACTATGTGTCATTATGAATGATAATATTTGTGCAAAGATTTAACTCATATTCTGTATTACGTCAGGTATTAATGACACAGGTAAAGATCCACGGATTCTTCTGTTCATTCCGTATATTACGAATAAAACTGAATCTTTTTAGCTGCCTGTACTTGTATCGTATCAATGATATGTGCTCTTGTGATGGCAATTTTTGACAAACGCTCCGAAAGCATTTTGGGTCGAAATAATAATCCATCTGGCGAAACGGTAAAATTGACGGACGTTAAGGACTTCTCGCTGTCTTTTTGGCTCGTTTGCGTCATCTGCGTAACGTTTTACTGCGCCATCTTCCCATTCATATCAATAGCAAAGTAAGTATTAAAATATTTATTATTTTTTCTACTCAAGTAGAGTCAAACGTATGGAGCACTTGAACTGTTTTGGAAACAGCATACAGGATAATTATGAAATATGGCGAATCTTCATATTGTTACGTAGATCAATTCACATAGATGATCAACTGTGTTAGTTAACAACAATAGATAACAACGACGACACCTACAATAATAATATCCCTAATATAGTTTTAATACATGTTTTGTATTAAAACTATAACATGAATTCTGCGATATTGCAGTTTTAATATTACAACGACATTATTTAAAATTCCATCCCAAAAATCCACTACAATTTATGGAATTTGTGTAGCTGTTAAGTCTTCCGTTTTTAGATAATACAGTTAACTTTATTTTTTCAAATAGATTATACCGTATATTTTACGATTTTTTAGATTAAGTAAGTTATTTCAAATATTTTCATGTAACACTCCCTAAACTTAAATGCAACAGTTTCATATAGAAATTCATACGAATTTTAATGATAAGCATGAGTAAGGTTATAGCGGGATAAGATGGTCAAAAGTGCCCCTGCACCGATCAGCACCGCGACTTGTGCAGATGCATGTGCTTTATGCATATGCTTTATGCATATGCTTTATATGCATAAAGCATATAAAAACATGACTTCATACAAATTTTTAGCTTCACAGAGCCCGTAGAACCTCTTAAATCTAGAAAAGAATCTTTTTTCGACTTTATTTTTTTTTGCGCGCAATTTTGCTTTAAAAAATCTGAAAAAATTCGTGAAGATGTATCTTTCAATTATAAAATAGTCTGATTTTTTCAAATTTTTATATTGAAAATTGAGCTCAGGAAAAATCATTAAAATTTTCAATAATTTTTTAGGTTATGGTAATAATTTTTGACTAACTTTTACTCATTTATTTGCACATAACCTCAAAACTCAGTTGGTAATGCAATATTTTTTCTTCCACATTATCAAAATCTCTTGTAAAAGTCCCCATTTAACTCTTTCATAAAGATAAAATTCGAAAATACCACGTTTTTTACCCTTTTCGCACTTTTTTTTACCTTACCTCAAGATCAGATAGTTGGATGTATGCTTTTCCCAATTTATATTTTTTCCCTCTAATGTTTTCCCACTTTATTGGCTCATAACCTTAAAATCTAGTAGCTAAATGATAGAATTTCCGCGTATTTTTGATCGCACTCTTCAATTTTGTTATACCGTCTTTTTTTTTTTCTTAAATAGTCAAAACTTGATAAAACCGTTTTTAAGCATTATTTCTATTTTTTACTCGTTAATTGCATAAAGTGACATATCTCTAGGATCACCTCGATAGGACAAGAATATCATTTGGATATAAACTAGTGACATATATAAAATATTTGGTTACAAAAATATTTATTATTATGAAATTGTTATACAATGGGTTATTTAAATTAACAGTTAAAGCATTCAATTACATTTTAGTCCTCATTACTATTCTCATCTATGACTGATTCAACATCAGAAGTAAAAATTTCTGATAACATTTTTGCTGGTCTTATGATTCTCCATTTATATCTCGAGCTACTGAGATAATAAATCACTGCTGCTATATGAGAACACGAACCCACAGTGCGTAACCCATTTGCACAGTCACATGCGTGGCGCAAAATACCACCATATCCAATTGAATCAGGTTTATATTCAATGTAGCATTTATAGATCTTACTGCTTATATGCCTGGATCTTATCAGTACTTTATTAATATTTGGTTTCATTGTAAAGATAGTGCAAACACTCCTGACCACGGCGCAGAAGACGAAATTTGGTTTAGTCCCCACTTCCATGCGAAACGCACTGTACTATGCAACGTGAAAGGTAGAACGTTTCAGTTTGGTTAGTGTAATTCCACTTACAATAGAACCTTTCTACCTTTACGTGAATTTTGACTCCACCTTCGCGCAGCTCCATGGTCAGGAGTGTTTGCACTAACTCTACTATACTCCAAATTGATGTTTATGTATTACTATCATCCATCAACTCAGTCAAATAGCAAATCGCTTGTCCTAACTGATAGGTTCCCGAAAAAAAAAAAAATTGAGATCCCTTTCAGTCATCTCTGGAAAGTTAATGATTTCTTGCGATCAGTTGTTCGTTGTAGTAAGACGTCTTAACCACCTGGCTGTCTCAGCTTCTAATGCTAAAGTATTCTCACCTTGATTAAATTTTAACATTCTTTTGATTATTATATTCTGTAACCCATCATCATTTTGATCACTATTCAAACGCTAAAACTCAAATTCTTGATCTTGTGATAACAAAAATAATATATAATTGCATGCTCTAACATACGAATATTGATACATATCGCACTTTAATCATTTGAGTTCGAGGATATCGCAACTGATGGGACGCATACGCGCGCCTATGTGATAACTTTAATATACTCGATTCTTTCGATACTTTTCCATGTGATTAATAGTTTTCAAGATCCTCGATAATATTACAACGGATTTTAAAAGAAGATTATTTGATAATAAGGCTAAGACAGTCATAGCGATACGAAGGCGACGCGACGGCGGCACGAAGGCGACACCAAGGCGAAAGCAGTGACGACAGAAACAATGTCTGCAACGCGCATACTCCCATTGTCGTTGTAATGGTTACGGATCATGCACGTAGCAGACATTGTTTCTGTCGTCACTGCTTTCGTCTTAGTGTCGCCATCGCTTTGACTGTGTTAGCCCATAGAATACGATACGCGTGCCTATAGGATATATATGGCAATTTGTAATATTCAACTCTAAACTTCGATTTGACCAACTACTTCGCGAATTTCAAAACGACTCTAGATTTTCGATATTAACTCGCAACGGATTTTAGGACAAAGAGATGATATATCCCATGATACTATGACTAAGAACATAAGATATTGCGCATAAGTCGTGACGTTATTGGAGAGTTGCACGTTTGAAATGTCAATTTTTTGTATGTATCAATAAATAATTTTTAAAATCCGTAAAATAGTTTCGAAACAAAATTCAGATTTCTGCTTATAATCTGAGCCTTATAAAAATTGCAAGGCAAACAGACGTTGATAAAAGATGTTAAAAGGGACATGGGGAATCTAAAATTTGCACATTCCACGACATGTCTTTACAACTAAGCAGAAATCCTTAGCGAATTGTGTTTCTTGTACTCGTACAGAGCAGATCCGAATAAAATGAAAAAGACAGAAAATATTTGATTTCACGCAAACAGCGCCTATGTATCTGTTGATACGTATTTCGACTTAATAGGTCTCATCAGAACAGTTATTCATAGGTGTTCTCAACGTTAAAAAAATCAATCAACTTTTTTTTATTATTAGATATTCATTTTTCATTCATTTTATTCGGATCTGCTCTGTACGAGTACAAGAAACACAATTCGCTAAGGATTTCTGCTTAGTTGTAAAGACATGTCGTGGAATGCAAGTTTTAGATTCCCCATGTCCATTTTTACATTTTTTATCAACGTCTGTTTGCCTTGCAATTTTTAGAAGGCTCAGATTATAAGCAGAAATCTGAATTGTGTTCCGAAACTATTTTACGGATTTTATTATTAGATGTCGCTATGGCGTCCGTATTGAAGCCATTTTAGTGTTGCTTCTTAAAAGACAGAAAATATTGATTTTTCACGTTGAGAACACCTATGGATAACTGTTCTAATGAGACCTATTATGTCGAAATACGTATCAATAGATACATAGGCGCTGTTTGCGTGAAATCAAATATTTGCTGTCTTGTTCAAATAATCTTTAATAAATGGTTTGGAGATATCCTTATGTGTACGATTATTATAATTATTAAACCTCTTAACTTATTTTCGTCTAGTAATTTCATTACAGAATGCATACAAATCCCATTTAACTTTAACAAGATTTCAAATTCTACTAACGATTTATGAACGAGTTAAATGGGGGAGGGGGGACTTTTACAATAAATTTTGAAATGTGGAAGAAAAATGTTGAATTAGCAGCTCAGTTTTGAGGTTATTTGCAAAAATAAATGAGTAAAAAACAGTTTTTTTGATTTTTCGATGCTTTCTGCTGAGAAAGTAAAAATTCTGCCTTGGCCATGTAAAAGAAGGAAAAAAAAAATACATAAAAAATTACTATTTAAAAGTTAGCCAAAAATTATTAACATAACCTAAAAAAATATTGAAAATTTCAATGATTTTTCCTGAGCTTAATTTTCAATATAAAAATTTGAAAAAAGACAGGCTATTTTGTATTCGAAAGATACATCTTCATGAATTTTTTCAGATTTTTTAAAGTAAAATTGCGTCCAGAAAAAAATAAAGTCGAAAAAAATCTTCTCTTTTAAATTAATGAAGTTCTATGCGAGATTTTATTTTGAACACTGTGATTTTAAAAAAAACCCAATAGAAAAACAAGAAAAACTTAAATATGCTAGTATGCAAGTACTTATGCTAATATTGCCCCTTATATTTGTTATTGTATTGCTTTTTAAAGATTTTGTACAGATTTGTTTAAGAACTGATTATTTTAAGTTAAGTTGTTAATCGCACAGATTTAAATTCAGTATGAACCGTTTCAAAGTCGCTTTTAGGGTTAGTCATCAATTCAAGCAAGATAGATATCCATTGAAGCAAGATATATTTTCAAACCGCCAACAATTGGTTCGTTTTTATGCATATTTATAAAATAAAAATATTGCAAGTTACCTCAGAAACAAAAATAATCTACATTATTTCAATTTTAGGCAATTCTTCGAAGTTCGGTTTGGTATGACTTCAGAACAAGCAAACGATATAAGCAGTATTGTATACGTTATCTCCGGTGTTGCCTCGCCGATTTTAGGTTTTCTAGTCGATAAAACAGGTATGAATGTATATTGGATATTACTGGGGGTTTCTGGGACAACTCTAGCACACGTTCTGCTCGGATTTACCACCGCTAATCCTTATCTTGCTATAGTAAGTATTATATTTGTATTATAATTTTTAAACAAATTTTTCATTAACTTTTATGAAAGTTTATTTAATTGCACTAGATCCGAAGGGATCTTGACGTTCTATGATATCTTCTTGCACTATTTATTTTGTTGAATGAAATATGCATACATGAATTCAATACACATTGTTTTTTAAATGTATCAGTTTACTATTGTTCTTTGAATTAACCACAATTTTAGTTTAAAATATTTTTATTTTAAAGTAAATTTGTGGTTTATTCTACAAACATTGTATTAAGATGCCGCAAGAAAATAGCTTCAGTCTATATCAGTTTGTGTAAGACAGAGATTTCCCAGTGCTGTCTATTTCATGGGTGTCGGTACAGCTTTTTTTTAACATTACTCAGCCTTTTCTAACATTCTTATTTGGTGAAAGATACTGGTCTTTGATTCGTTATACGACGGCGGTCCGATAAATACTGAGGTCCACGCCCAGGTGCCCTGAACACGGGAAAAGAAACAGCAGACTTCATCCGGCGAACGTGCTTCAAAGCCGAAAAGACTGCCCTATCGGCCGGAAAGATGTTGGCTACCGTTTTCTGGGATTCACAAGATATGATCTACATCGGCTATTTGGAGAAGGGCAAAACGGTCACTTTGCTCTACTATTCCGAATTATTGGGTCGATTCGAGGCCGAATTGACATCGTGACAACACACAGGCTTACACCTTAGCCGTCGCCACGGTCAATTGGTGGAATTGGTCTACAAATTGGTTCCATCCACCTATTCTTCAGATTTGGTCCCAAGAGATTTTTTTGTTTTCAATCTTAAAAAAGACACTTGCCATACAGAAATTTGAGTCGAATGAGTAGATCATCGCTACCGTGGAGGCCTACTTTGCAGAAACACATTTTTCAGGCGGGCCAAAGAAGTTATGTGTATCGAGATAAAAGAAGACTATATTGAGAAATAAATCGCCACTTTTCCAAAATTTTTGTTTTTCTTTTGTAGGATAAACACCTATCGGATCGCCCTCATAAACAAAACGGAATAGTGGCCGAATCTCACACCTGCTGTAGATGGAGCAGATGTTTGGAAACAAATTATCGACATTTTTTTAGCCTTACAGGCTTTTCCACAATTCGTCTTTACAGATCACTTGTGTATTTTCTACATCGCGGTTTTGCTGAACACTTTTCAGTAATACCTCTGCGTCACCGAGGAGTTACAGATACTGACGCCACTTTGTTTCTGCTTCATTTTTGTCATATAAGAAACTATTGTTAATGGTTTGTCCTTTACCCAAAGATAAGTCATCCTTAGGTTCCACACGAACGCCTAGGCTCTTACCTCCCCCTACGACAAGAACTCCCGACTCTTGGAGAAGAACCTTTTTGTGTGTAGCGAGTGTCAAATTAAAAAAAAACTCGTTATACAGACTTACTTTCGGGACCCATATAATACATCATACCTGTAATAATAATAACTATTGTTGTTATTTTTTTAGGCCATCATGGGCTTGGCGTACTCAATTTTAGCCAGTAGTCTGTGGCCCTTGGTATCCTTGATTATACCCGAGTACCAACTTGGAACTTCATATGGAGTGTAAGTATTTAGTTTATTTTAAAGTAGAAAAATATTAAGTGCTCAGTTTCACATCAAGACATTATGAATATCAACTTAATACTGCATGTCAATCCAGCATACTATAATTCCATATTTGCTATATATTAATGGTAAACCATATTTATAAACTAGATATTGAAAAAAAGTTTGCAACAAAAATTGTATCACAAAAATATGTAGAAAATCTTTAATAGGATATCTTCAAACCATTTCTGTGACTAATGTTTAACTATGGATATACATTATTTTTTCTAGAGCTGGTTCGATTCAAAATCTAGGATTGGCACTCTTTAACATATTTTGTGGCCTAATAATTGACAAGTTTGGATATACCGGCGTAGAAATATTTTTCATAACTAGTTTAATAGGTAATTATGTATTTTTTGTATATAAACATTGTTTTTAAACTAATACTCAGTGTGTATCATTTAAAAAATATGTCAAAGGTATTTTGGAGTTATGGTGCACACTGGCAGAGGCAGAGTACTTGAAGTTAATATTTGATTTTTACAGCGGCGTTTATTTCCTCGGTGGGACTCTTATTACTGGATAGAATTGATAATGGAATACTAAACAAGACGCCTGCAGCAAGGTCAAGGCATCATATGTGAGTATTTTTTTTATCAAATTCTTTAATATTACAAATCAGATAATAAATTATGAACTTTATATATATATATATATATATATATATATATAATATATATATATATATATACAGTAGACTCGCGATTATCCGAGGTAATTGGGACCGAGACTACCTCAGATACCGAAAAAACTCGGTTAACATAGATTGGTTATATGTACTGATAAAAAAATGTGTACCTACGCAAATAATGATTAATGTGTTTATTTTAATAATTTAACTAATATAAAAGTATAAAAGATAAAACAATTTACCTTATAAATGTTATTGTTTAAAAAAGTTTTTGATTGATTTTTGTTTTAACTTCATTCCTCTTTTTGAGGCGGCGATGTTGTGTCGATTCTTCTTGTTGCTCGATGTATGCGAGGGCTGCTTCAAAGGACTTCAATCCATCGGAATGAGATATTTTTTGAGTTATCTCATCTGTATCTTCTTCATCTTCTTCATGAGTGACGTTTAGAACTAGATTGGCAATTGCATCATCTGTCAGTTCCATTTCTTCATCTAGATTCATCCAATCGATGATGTCTTGGTTTACGATTGGTTGTTCTACTGGTAATTGATTGGCTAGGTTGGTTATATAATCAACTTCACAGTCATCAGTTTCATTTTGAACGTCTTGTGTTTTGTTGTTTATCTTAAATAATTTTTTCCACGACTTCTGAATAGTGGACACTTTTACATCGTCCCAAGCAGATGCAATTAAATAGCAAACATCTTTAACCGTGATTTTCTTCAATGTCTCAATTACAGTCAGCCCTTCATCCAGCTTAGTTAGCAGTACCTGAAGAAGCTTCCGCCGATAATTTCTCTTCATTGCTTCTATAACGCCTTGGTCTAGGGGTTGGATGAGAGACGTCACATTGGGTGGAAGGAACACAGCTCGTATGTCACCACTAATCAATTCACTCGCATCTGGGTGGGATCGTGCGTTGTTCAACAACAACAAAGCTTTCCGAGGCAGATTTTTGTTTATTAGGTAGGCATCAATGGCTGGCACAAAGTCATTAAAAAACCAGTCCTTAAAAGTGTTACAGTCCATCCATGCATTGCGTTGGTTGCTATAGATTGTAGGTAAGCAATTTATTTGGACGTTTTTGAATGCTCTTGGATTTCTGGATTTTCCGATTAAAAGAGGTTTTAATTTTAATGAACCAGAAGCATTGTTGCAAATCATGATTGTGACTCTCTCTTTGCTTTTTTTGTAACCTGGTGCAGTTCCTTCATTTTTAGCAGCTAGTGTTTTCGATGGAAGCATTTTAAAGTTAAGGCCTGTCTCATCACAGTTAAATATTTGGTCTGAAGTTAGTCCATCTTTAAGGATAATGTCTTGTAATTTTAAATAAAATGTTCCAATTTCAGTTGAGTCAGCAGAAAGTTTTTTGCCACAAATACTCAATTATTGGATGCCATATTTCTTTTTCCATAAGTCAAGCCATCCTTCACTAGCACAAAAGTTTTCTCCTCCATCCATAAACTTCTTCTGGAATTCGATAGCTTTTGCTTGGAGTATTGGACCACTTATCGGACTGCCCAATCCTCTCATTTGTGAAAACCACAAGAACAATGCCTCAGAAGTTTGTTCATAGTCCCCTTTCTTCATAGTCTTCCGGGCCAATCCACTACCACCACTCACACTTCGGTTAACCCACTGTTCGATTTTATTCCGCTTACGCTTCCAATCTTTAACAGTTACTTCTCCGACACCTAAATCTGAAGCAACCTTCTTTATTAATTAACCCTTGTCCAACCTCTTAATTGCATTCACTTTTGTTTCTAAAGATACAACTACTCTCTTCCGCTTTTCACTCATATTGCACAGAAAGATGCTCTCTTACACTCACAAAAATCAACTTATGAAAAATTAATTATGAAACTTAAACTTATAAACTCGAATAAATACACAAAACAGTACATAAAAGCAAAAATTTCACCGTACAGTAATTTGACTTAATTTGACGATCTGAACGGCAGCAAACAAATAATTTGACGATCTGAACGACAACAAACAAATCGGTAGTTCAATTCACACTGATGAACATAGAAAGTAACAGGAAGTTGTAGACAAAACACGACACAGAAATTTCTGGAAATAAGGCGGTGACCAATTTCTGAGAATACCAACTCGACATCAGCTTGACCTAAACACAATTCTCTTCTTATCAATAATCCACAATTTTCATTGGATTGCCCATATAACAGCTGCCAATATAACTTGTGACCATCGACCCTTTTTTTATTACTCGATATTGTGATTCAACAAGTACGGCTATAAAATTAAACACCAGGCAAAATTTTGCCTCGGTTAACCGAGGGGCTCGGATAACCAAGGTTCGGATAATCGAGAGTCTACTGTATATAAAATAAATATTAAGTATATATATATATATAGTATATATATATATATATATATATATATAAAGTATATATATATATATATATATATTATAATATTATATGTGTGTGTGTGTGTGTGTGTGTGTGTGTCAATTGTAAAATTTACAATGGGCTATATCTCACAAACAAAAGCTGTTATCGGAAAATGCTTGAAACCATTTCTGGGATAGTAAGGGAAAACTAAAATGACATGAAAGATAACTCACCCCCATAAACCCTCTAGGCCCCACCCATCACAACCAAAAAAGTTTAAATTCCAAGCCACTACTTGTGATAGATCATTGAAAAAACATTAAATAATGCTATCCAATGGTATAAATAATAATCATACAGGGTGAAGCAATAATTCTAAAACTTTGACTTAAATGGAAAATTTACTGAGGTTTTTGTTGAACTACAGATTTATTGAAATTTTCAATTAAGTAAATGTTCAAAGTGGGTTCCGTTGTTTTGTAAACAATAATACAGCCTATTTTCACATTCTGCAAGACATGCTTTGCATATAAACAACTGTCTTGTTGTTTTATAAACAATTGTCTTGTTGTTTTATAAACAATCGATTTGTTCGGATAATTAATATCCAACCTAAACCTAACTTGAGCTGCATAGTGAGGAGGTGCTCCATCTTGTTGGAAATGTGGCGCACAATTTCGGGCCAATGCTTTTAAATGCATTCATTTTTTTCGAATCCTGAGAAAACTAATAAATATTTTTGAAAAATTTAAACGCAGAATGAAAGAATACATTATTACCGAGAGCAGAGAGTCCCTGAAAAATTCTGTATTGTTTATTTTAATAAGTTACAGGGGTGAAAAAAAAAAGAAAAAATTTAGTGTGATTTTTAATTTTATATATCTTCTTCAAAAAAACTTTTTGTTTATTCTAAGGAACTTTCGGCCCTCGGTAATAATGTAATCTTTCATTCTGCGTTTAAATTTTTCGAAAATATTTGTTAGTTTTCTCAGGAGTCGAAAAAAAAATGAATGCATTTAAAAATTTTTCGCCTACGCTCTTAAATAAAAACTTAATTTGCCGTTTTTGCAAAACAAATTGAAAACATCTGTTTTTAGGTTCTGTCAAATTCAATAATTTTTGGTTTATTTGAGAGTATTATATGGCATTAGTTTTCATCACTTGTACGATCTGTACTGTCATTCAGCTGTAGTTGTCACGATGAACAGCTCAAATATTTCATGAAGGCATCCGGACAAAAATTTAAGTCACGTGTACGTACGCGATTTAGTTGAAAATTTTAGAGAAACGGGATCAGTGCAAAATAAATAAAGAAATGTTAGAAAGGTGTTGAAATTACATACGTTTTACCCGTACAAAACACAAATTCTTCAAGAACTAGGCGACAATGATCCAGACCGACGAATTTTGTGAACTCATGACTGAAAGAATTCGCGTTGAACCGAGAATGTTAAAAAAAAATTGTTTCGCTGATGAATGTACTTTATGCTGAATGGTAATGTAAATAAACAAAATTGTCGGTACTGGAGTGATGCGAACCTGCATCGATTCAGAGAAGATCACCCTCAATATCCTGAAAAACTGAATGTTTCGGCAGGAATATTAGGCGATGCTATAATTGGCTCCTTGTCCATACCAGGCAATTTAAGTGCCGCAACATTTATCTCGATATGCTGGAAAACACCATCGAACCTTTAATTGTGCATGAATTAGAGAACCAAAGGAACGATCCTAGCTCCTAGCAACCTAGCTCTAGACGAAAATTTGCTGCATTTCCAACAAGATGGAGCACCTCCTCACTTGTGGATTTGTCGACATAGTCGTGTAGTGTAGACAAGTGCGCTGTATAAGACCAGATAAACCCACCGGCCGTCCAAGAAAGTTACGGTCCATCCAAACCTTGAAAACAAAATTTGGTAATTCGAGTCTGGACGTGGAAACTTCTGCTTTTAGTAACGTGGAAACATTTATAATAATTTTAATATTAATTAGTTTGTTAAACAATACTTAAATAATAAGTACTGACACCCGTTTGAAGTAGTCGTTCTGACACCAAACATTAGCAAGCCAAAACTCTCGATTCAATAGTTCGCCAACCCAGTCTTCTTAGGTTTTCTTCTCCTACTGCTTCCAGGAGGTTGCCACTTAGCAATACTTCATTTGGGGTGATTACCAATCTGTTAGCCAACTTATTCCCGTCTCTCTTAAAAATGTCCCCACGTCCCTATCAATATCATATGGTCCAACTCCTATAATTAACTTAACTTACTTTTTGAAGTTCTTGAGCATCTTCGTAGTCTGTTATTTTGGCGACCATGGCTGTTACTGTTTCCGTTATCTCAATTGGTTTTCTGTCAAATTCTTTATTCGATAACCTGTCACAGTACTTTTGCCATAGCATTTTGTCATTCTTTTTGTGAATTATTATTTTATTATTTTCGTCTCAGACACATCTAATCTAGTTAAAACGTTCACTTTATTTGCTCAATGTTTGGCTATTGTATATATCCTTCGCTTGTTTTTGGTGACCTTATAGTTTTGAAGATCTGTGTCTGACCTAATTTCTTGCCAGTGTATACTAAGAGGTTGCC